CAGGATTGAGTCCCAGTTTCCCCAGCTGCCCATCTGCTCTATTCTTGTGTTGTTAGATGCGTCGTCAAGTTGGTTCCGACTCAGAGCAACCCTATGTCCAACAGAACGAAGCATTGCCTGGTCCGGCGCCATCCTCACAATTGTTGCTATGTTTGAGCCCATTGTTGCAGCCACTGTGTCAACCCATCTTGTTGAAGGTCTTCCAGATAGACTACTTATGATCAGATCCTTGACTTCAGGTCTGCTCTGGAGGAACCCTCACTTGTTTGTCAGGTTGTCATACTATGGTGGCTTGCAGGTTGCTATGACGCTGGAAGCTATGCCACCAGTATTTCTAACACCAACAGGGTCACCCATGGTGGAGGGGTTTCAGTGGAGCTTCCAGACTAAGATAGACTAATAAGAAAGGTCTGGAGATCTACTTCCTAAACTTAGCCAATGAAAATCTTTTGGATCACAGCAGAACAGTGTCTGATTCACTTGCTTTGCACACTTCATCAGGAGGGGTCAATCGCTGGAGGAGGACATCATGTTTGGTGAAGTACAAGGCCAGCAAGGGTGACGGGGACCATTGGTGAGATGGATTGACACAATAGCTGCAACAATAGACTCTAACATGCTGGCTATCGTGAGGATGATCCAGTACCAAGCAATGTTTTGTTCTGTTGCGTATAAGGTCGACATGAATCAGACTCAGCTCAATGGCAGCTATCTCTCTCTCTTTAGCTACTAATGATGTTGAGCATCTTTTCTTTTCTTTTTTTTTTTGAGGTGAGCAGCAAGAGGGTCTTTACTGTATATGGATATATAGGAGACAGAGGGGAATGGACTCCCCCGAAATCTGCCTCCTCCTCTGGAGGTCGAGTAGAGAGTTTTAAAGGGACAGAGTCAGGGTCTGAAGAATCCATGGAATGTTAGCTCCCCTTTGAGGTGGGCATAAGGACCACGTTCCAGACATGCTGACCTTCTGTGGGTATTCTTGAAGATCCTCTGACGCCATCTTGGTTTCGGTCACAAGATGGGCCCTTTGTTCAGCCGTCTCACTCCCACATTTTATGACTTCTTGTTCTACCTCCCAAAGAGGAACTTAGGTTAATTTTAAACTTTTATAGAGTAATGGAATAACAAAAGGGAAAGAGGAGGAAAAACAAAATCATTGGGGTATGCAGAAGTTAACTATGCAAGCTATCCAATAACAACAATACCACAATACTTGAGATGCTAGGCCCACACAGCTTCTTTCCCACACGGCCCCTTTCAAGACCATAATTCAAAGACATCAATTCTTTTTCAGTCTTCCTTACTCATTGTCCAGCTTTTGCACGCATATGAGGCAACTGAAAAGACCATGGTTTGGGCCAGGTGTGATGCTGAGCATCTTTTCATGTGCTTATTGGCCATTTGTATATCTTATTCAGTGAAATGTCTATTCAAGTCCCTTGTCTATTTTTTAATTGGATTGTTTGTCTTTTTGTTGTTGAGTTGTAGGAATTATGTCTCCTGGGTATTAAACTCTTATCAGATATATGGTTCCCAAATATTTTGCCCCGTTCTGTGGATTGTCTCCTCACTTTGTTGATAAAGTCCTTCGATGCACAAAAATTTTAAATTTTGATCAAGTCCAATTTATCTATTTCGTATGTTGGTTCTAGTGTTTTTGGTGTCATATTTAAGAATCCATTATTGAAAACTAGGTCCCAAAGCATTACTCGTATGTTTTGTTCTAAGAGTTTTATGGTTTTGGTTCTTATATTTAGGTCTTTTATCCATTTTGAGTTAATTTTTGAATATGGTGTGAGGTATGAGTCCACCTTCATTCTTTTGCATGTGGAGATCCAGTTGTCCCAGCACTGTTTATTGAAAAGACTGTTGTTTCCCCATTGAATGGAACTGACACCCTTGTTGAAAATAAATTGGCCATAGATGTATGGATTTATTTCTGGACTGTCAATTCTATTCCATTGGTCTATGTGTCTACTATTAAACCAGTGCCAGATTGTTTTGATTACTGTAGCTTTACAGTATGTTTTGAAATCAGGAAGTGTGAGTCCTCCTACTTTGTTCTTCTCTTTTAAGATTGCTTTGGCTATTCAGGGCCCCTTGCAATCCCATATAAATTTGAGAATTGACTTTTTGATTTCTGCAAAGAAAGCTGTTCGAATTTTCCTGGGGATTGCATTGAATCTATAGATCACGTCGGGTAGTATGGATATCTTAACAATATTAAGTCTTCCCGTCCATGAACAGAGTATGTCTTCCTATTTATTTAGGCCTTCTTTAATTTCTTTCAGCAATGCTTATAGTTTTTAATATACAGTACAAGTCTTTCACCTCTCTGTTTAAACTTATTCCTGGATATTTTATTCTTTTAAATGCTATTACAAATGGAATTGTTTTCTTAATCTTCTTTTCAGATTGCTTGTACTGATATGATTATTTTTAAAAGTCAGTATGTTAGAAATAGGTGAAATGATAGGATGTTTAGGATTTGGTTTAAAATACTCCAGCAAAAACAAACGCATGAAACAAGAAGGGCAGAATTTTGATAATAGTCAAACTGGGTGATGGGGACATCGTAGTTCATTATTCTATTCTCTTTACTTTAGTGTATGTTTGAAAGTTTCCGTAATAATAATTTTTAAAAGTAATGGTCATAGCAATATACAGAGTCACCCATTGCCTTTGAGTCAATTCCGACTCATGGCAACCCCATGAGTTACAGAGTAGAACTGCTCCATGGGGTTTTCTTGGCTGTAATCTTTACAGAAGCAGATTGCCAGGTCTTTCATCTGTGGTGCTGCTGGGTGGGTTTGAACCACTGACATTTAGGTTAGTAGTTGAGTGCCAACCATTTGCGCTACTCAGGGACCTAATATGCAGAGTACTTGTAAGAATTAGTGGTCATGTGTTTTTATGAGTGAAGAAACAGAGCTTTACAGCAAATGGAAAGTTTCTCTCGTGGCCATATCTTGTATGGTTTCTTGGTAAAGGCTTTATACTGAAGAAAACCCCAATTCCTGCCATCTGAGCTGCTAGGGCTCTGACTTCATAATAGGCCAGAACCCAGAAAGCCCAGAAGAGATGTGGATGGGTGAGTGATTGGTAATATGTTCTGGAAATTAGTCTGCCTACCCTGGTGCTTGTGGTAGACATTGCTGAACTGTGTTGGTGCTTCATCAAATATTTCTAGTTCTGTTTCTAGGTCAAAGTAGCACTTCCTGCCCCTTTGTGGTTGGGTGGGGCCGTGTGATTAGTACCACCAGATGAGTCGCAAACAGAAGGAACAGGTGTGACTTCTTGACTGCAGCAATTAATTACCTGTATAAGACCCTCCAGAGCTATTTTATTTTTTCCTTTTGGCGTGGTGACTGACGGCATTTGAGATGGTGGCTGCTCTATCAGCCTTGGTCCCTGAGTGACTGAGATAGAAGAGCCTGCTTGCTTACAATGATGCACATGTAGCCTGAGTGAGAAACAAACTTTTGTTGCTCTAAGACATTGACATTTGGAGGTTGGTTGTTATCGCAGCATAATCTAGCTTATTCTGACTAATACAGTGCCATACAGAGACCAGCTCTACAGACTGCCTGGTGAGAATCTGAATAATAATAATTAGTAGTAGTATTACAGTTATTATGTTGTTGTTGTTAGCTGCCACTGAGTTGGCCCCTGCGGCATGGCAAACCCAAGCGCAGTGGAACCAAATACTGCGCCATCCCCATGACCGGTTGTGGATGGGACTGTTGTGATCCATAGTGTTTTCACTGGCTGAATTTCAGAAGTAGATCACCAGGTCTTTCTTCCGAGTCCATCTTAGTCTGGGAGTGCCACTGAAACCTGTTCAGCGTCATAGCAACACACAAGCCACCACTGACAGATGGGTGGTGGCTATGCATGAGGTACATTGACCAGGAATCAAACCTGGGTCTCCCACATGGAAGGCAAGAGTTCTACCACTGACCCACCAGTGTCCCCCAATTATTGTTACTGGTAGCACTTACAGGGAGCCCTGTATGTGTCAGGCACTGTACTACTCATTACCCAGTATATGCATTGGCTCAATCCTCACAACAAACACGGGAGGCAGATATTATTATCCCATGACCCAGATGAGAAAACCAAGGCTTTGGAACTGGCACAGATGTTTTATTTGCGGTATGTTGGTTATTGAAGATGCTGTTCATTCTATCCTTTGCCGTCTCTTATATAAAATCCCATGGAATGAATTCTCTCTGGCAATGATAGCAAGAACCCTTTTAGAAAGCAATTTTACAACATTTATCACTCATGACTCTTGTCTGTCCAGGCTTTTTGTAATTAGATTTCTTGAACAATTAAAAAAAAAATTGTAAAGAAAAATGAATTAACATTAGATTTTGTCTCTTGCATTATTAGTTATGGTTCCCTTAGCCGGATGTTAAGAATGTCATTGGTAGAGTTCTTTGCTTTTCGCCTGGGTGGCCAAGGTGGTGAACTTTAAACCAAAGGCCCAATCAAGGTGAAATATCAGCCTTGTGTGGAAGGTGTTTGTGTGTAATCGCCTGTATCAACTGTATGACTTTCCTGTCTTTAATAACGGTCCCTGGAAACGTTTCTGGCAGGATACAAACACATTTTGAAATATTTGTAGGTCCATCTTATATTCGTTCTGTGGAGCCCAGAGCGAAGGCCTTGGGGTATGTATGAAGCATTTCTGGCAGATTCGAACCAGAGCAATCGGTGAGTGTGCGGTGCCCCCTCGTGGCGCTCGGAGCTACGACACTCTAAGTTCTCCTGCGTCCATACCCAGCCACGCGATGCACTGTCTCCAACTCTCCGTCTCCTTCGGCCTCTTGGTCCCCTCTCCTAGCAATCCCCCGTCTCCCGCTGGCTCACCTCATAGCGGCAGAGGCCTCTGCTCTTACCTTGTCTTTTTAGGCGCGTGTTGGCACGCTGGGTCCAGAGTAGGCCCCTCACCTGCCACACCTCGCAGCTCTTACAGCTCCGCCCAACACATAAAGTCCCCAACTTATTTTATTGCTGAAGACAGAGATCAGTTAATGCCCCTGGGCGCCCCACCGGCCCCTCTTGAGGTGGCTGCGTTCTCGCCGGCAATCCTTGATCCGTGGGTCCGAGGACCCTATCCGGACACTACTGCAGGAGGCGCCACCACCTCCCCGACGCCCGGCCAGCCGGGGCCCATGGCCCGCAGCCTTGGTCCGGGAAGGCGGGTCAGGAGAGGCCTCTCCTAGTCTGGCGGGAGCGGAGGCTTACGGGAAAGGGCCGGCGAGTGATCCCGCCAGGACTCCCAGGCTTTGTCGCGCACCGCCGTGAGGTGGGTCCCTACTTCTCGGCGTAGCAGTAGGTCCCGTAGGCCGGCTGTTGGGGGCTGGGGAAACCGAAGCTGCGCACCCCGGGATCCGGAAGGCCACCACAGCGCGGCCGCGGCGTAGTGATAGGGAAGCGCACGCTGCCGTCTGCCAGCCAGCCGCCGTCGCACTGGTCCAGTCCCGAGAACTTCCAGGCGGCGTAGAGGTGCCCGACCTTGGCCACCACCGCCTCGCGCTGCCTGCAGGCCGCGTGGGCTTCGGACAGCGTCAGCCTCCCGGGAACGAAGAACACGTGGCCTGGGGACGGGAGCCGGTCACCGACCGAGCGAGAGCAGGGCCGGGCGGGGAGCGGCGGGATTCAGACTCCCAGGGAGCGGAGTCGAGGGGCAGGCCGTGGAGAAGCGGGACCGAGCTCGGAGGGGGAGGACTGGGAGAATCTAGGCGTGAAGAGCGGACTGGGCTGCGCAAGGCGCGTTAGCGCCTGGGCCAAGGAGATCATGCAGGGGGCGAGGCCTTGAAACAGAGAGACCCGCCCCTGGTCTCCGACTTTCCGCGCTCTACTTACCCCCGCCCATGCCCCGCCCCCATTCTCCAGACCCCGCCCAATCCC